AGAAGTGGGTGGTGTGTGTGTGTGTGTGTGTGTGTGTGTGTGTGTTTGTGTGTGTGTGTTGGGAGATGGTGGGCTTGCCACTGACACATTCATTCAATGATAGTGTCTTATCCCCACATCACACAGCTTCAGAAACCTCCTGAGACATCGGTCAAGTGGGAAGGGTCTTAGAAACCCATAGGTTTACATGATTTATATTTCTCCAGAGATGGACATTGAAATTGAGCCTCGCAGCAAAATACAATCACTACTCTTTGCTCTTTGATGATAAGCCATTCCCCCATCTTCCACATGGGGGCGCCATTCCTGAGTTCTGCTTGGGCTTATGGCTCTGCTTTTAAATTTGGGCCAGAATACTGCTCATGACAGAGGAATGCAATTAGAGCCCTGAGGGTCTGGGGCAGGGTCAAGGCCCGAGTAGCTTGCCACAGGTATAAATTTCTTAAAGGTTTTTTTCTTTAATTTTTGTGCAAATTTGTATTCCCTCTCCATAATAAATGCATGTTTGTTTTAATATAGTCAATGTTTTAAATTATTTACCTTTGAATTAAATTGGTACTTCAGAGAATGTGCTGTGTTTAACTAAACGGCTTCTTGTGACTCTGGGCGAGCTGCCCGTACAGGATCCCCACTTGGAGAAACAGGCTCTTAGGTTATAGTGGATCTGGGTGACTAGATATGTAACCTCGGGCAGATCACTGTGCCTTACCAAGCCTCAGTATTTTCATCTAAAATATGAGAGCAGTGAAACCTACATGTCAGGGTTAGTGTGAGGATTAAAGGAAATAAAATATGTGAAGTGGCTGTCCCATGGTAGGCACTCAAAAAATGTTGCCAGCTCTCCTGTTAGTGGGAAGAGCTCTGTCAGCTTTGCTTTTCCAGCATTCTGTGATTCTGACTCAGCCGACTGAGAAGGTGACCCCGTGGGACATTTGCTACTAGAGGGGTTTTGAGGAGAAACAGTGTATGTCACTGCTGGCTGACACAGCTGCTGACATTGGCAATTGAAAATAAACTGTACGGAGAGAGATGTGATATGGTCTCAGGGCTTATCATAGTCTGTTTTTCCATTTCTAGGTGCTCCTGAAAGGGGAAAGTTGGCAAGTGTGTGACACTCACAGTGTCCCATCTACTGCCTGGGCCCCCTCCTGTCATGCGGCTGCAGGTGAGTCACTGGCCGAGAGAGAAAGTCAGAACTGGACAGCTCTTCCCTTCCCGGGGCTCACCTTTCAGTCTTGCTGCTGAAGAAGATTTAGGCCATGGTCCCTGCCTAGACTCATGAGTCTGTCTCGGGATGTGTAACAGCAGTCTTAGGGGGTTTGCTTCCAAATTCTGAAATGACAATGGGATGAATGAATCCCGATTTAAAGGAAAATATCATCTAGGTATCCAATCGTTAATGCAAAACCTTTAATTTTGAATAGCCAACCACTTTCTGGAAAAAGGCCTCTGGTCGTATGAGAGGTATTTGTCAGACTCACCAGGCAGGGTCCGGCGGGAGATGGAGGGCAGGCGGACACTGAGGGCAGCAGGATGAAACCCAGCGTGGAGGTGGGCACGAGCGTGCAGGTGAGGGAGCCATGCTGGCCGGAGGCTTCAGGAAAGCTCGGCAATAGAGGTGACGTCTGAGCTTGAGCCTGAGATCCAGAAGACCGGGTGGCGCTCAGACATGACTTTTTAAATAATGTCTCCAGGGATTCTGAGGCACAGTCAGGGCGAATCTCCTGGCAGGTATCCATACTTCTATCTTAGAGCGTTTCCTCCTCTGGGTTGGGAGCCCCTTGATGGTAGGGTCCGCGGTCTCTCTGCTCAGCGTCATCTCTGCAGACGTCTGGAGCCTGTGCCTGAGTGCGGGGCTGCATCTCCTCCGAGGTGCCTTGCATGCTATGATGGGGACCCCAACACGTGAGAATTTGAAGGAGCTCCATGCCATGCGTCCTAAAAGTTAAAAACTCACTGAATACAAGTATCTGTAGTGTTTTACTGCCTCAATGCTGTACACCATCTTTCTTCTGAAAAAAACGCTGTGATTCTTACCAAATGTTTATCTGAATCTCTTTTCAGATATGTGTTTTATCTTTGTTTGTTGTTACTTCCCTGATTTTCAAAATGGACCATGAGTCACTTTTCAAATGCAGCACATACGTTTGTTCACTTGTGAATACAAGGGCCTCTCTCCTGTAGGTCCCCAGACAATTTCTAGAAAGAGACAAGGGAGTAGATTTGGGGTAATGGGCAGCGTAAAAAGAGAACCCAGGAAACTGGCGTGCTCAGAACTGAACTGGGGTGAAGCAGTCACCCAGCTTCAGGCCGGTGCACGCTCATTTCTTCCCACACACAATTTAAGAAAGTGAAAAGGCCACGTGTCAAACATTTCTGAGCCTGTGGGTCATATTTCTACCACGACTGCTCTGGTTCTAAGTAAGAACCCTGATACTCTGGTTTCTCTTCAGATTGTATAAATCTATCACCTTTTACTAAGTCAGAACACTTGATGAATGAGTGGATTCAGGAATGAATGATGCGTAATGTAACCTTGGCTCCATTCAGCCCTCTTTTGCCTGAGCCAGGAAAGTCCTGAACCCACTGGGAATGGAAGAGCCTGCTGCGGGAAGCTGGTGTTGACGTCGTCGGCAGAGGGGGCTTTTCCCTCGGCCCCAGAGGGAGGATGCTTTGCGGGGAGAAGACACTGGGCGTTCTAGGGGGGACACAGACCCTCTGAGACAGAGGGCGCGCTCTATGCCAGCTGACTTTGGGGAAGCAAGTGGGCGGAACACCCCAAGGAGGAGGAGGAGGCAAGCATTTTTCTTGGAAAGGACCCGCTGGAGCGGTTGGCAGAGTTCTGGCGGGTTGGAGGGGTGGGTGCCTAAGCGCCTCGCTGGCAAAGCCCAGAAAGGCGCCCTCCTTCCTTGGGGCCAAGAGTGTGGCTGCAACAGCCCAGCAGGACCCCAGTTTCTCGTGCCATCAACCGTGTGTGCATACCCACGTGTGCTGTGTAGTCTAAACCCCTTTCTTTGGTGGCTGATTTTAAGCCTGTGCTGTGATTTGGAAATAAGGAGAGCAGAAGAGCTGGGCCTCACTATGAAGGCGGGATGGTCACATCAGTACTCACCCTCAGGGAGGCACGTGCTACCTGGGAGCATCCACGCTGGTCCAGGGCTGACCTGCAGCCAAGGATGGACGCCTCCTCGGGGAGGAGCTCTCGCTCTCCAGCTCACAGAGGCTGGACAAGAGCCCTGAGCACCCACTGATTAATTCATAGCAACATCTATAACAGTGCACGATGCTCCGGTAGAGAGCAAAGCTGTGTTCTTTTTGTAAGTCCCCCTGCCCTACCCAGAGTTGTGAGACAGTCACTCTGAAATCACGGCGTCACTGGGCGGGCGCCTTGACTCCCGGGACTCACAAAGTATTGACCAGGACTCACGGTGCATGTTCTGTGCAACAGAGATGGTCTGGGGCCATCACGAGAGGAATCTGCCGAGGCTGGGCCACGCAGCCCTCCCTGCGGAAGGAGGTTCCACAGAAGATGGGCAGTCGCTACCCAGCTTCTTCTCTGTGCGCAGGATTGCGCTACCTCGGGCACCTTGTGGCTTCCATCAGAGGAAATGTGGGTAGCAGTTGGGAGAGTTTAGTCTGTGAAGGTGAGTTCATGTTGAAATTTGGGGGTTGCCAATGCCAGGCATGTGTCCCTCCTGCAAAAACCCGGGAATAACTTCTTATTTCAGAAATAAACAGTGGACCCCTATTAGGCTTTCATGAAAACCTAATTTTCACTTTTAGGAAGACCTCCCCAGAAGCTGTTGTCAAGGATGAAACTGTGATAGTGTCTCCTGGGTGGGGGAGCAGCAGTCCCGGCTGGTGGCTGTGGCTGGGACCACCAAAGCAGTCTTCTGACTCCTCAGGGTGCCTCTTCAAGCAGAAATCTTTGGCAGCCCAGGATGGAGGAACCAGTGCCGGTCTGCCTGGAGCCGGGAGGGCAGGTGCAGGGACCGGGTGTCTCCACGGCTGATGACCACGTGTGCAGGAACGCACTTGGCGCTGCTCCTCTCCCGCTCTGGTGACTGAAGGGCCTCATTAGGTTGTGCACACGAACGGCTCCCTTTAGGGACACTGAGGTCCTTGGGGATGTGGAGGCTGGAGAGAAACTGGAAAAGCTGACGGAGTTTTCCGGGTTTCATGGAGTGAAGCTTGAATTTATCCCTCCCTCCTGGTGCAATTCCAGCTGCCTTCGCTGCTTCTTTGCAGTCAGTTGGGCTTTTCTCCCCTTCTGGAAGGCCTGACAACAGGATGTTCTGACTTCGTCATTAAGAACATGGATCCAGACAGAAGTGTGTTAAAGGGAGAAAAGTGACACAGGCGGGGAGCTGGGAAGGGATAACTCAACGCCCACAACAAGGCAGCCGACAGAATGTGCTAACTTAGGAAGGTGCGGTCAGCAGTTTCTGGCCCCGAAATACATCAAGCTGTCAAGGAGGCACATGGGCCTCCCGCCGGGCAGGTCTCTAGGGCTCTCTCCATCTCTGTCCCCCCTGGGCACCCCTTTTTCCTTTCCAACAGCCCCAGGAAGATTTTAAAGGGTCACGCTTTTCAAAGCGCTATCTCCTTCCCAAGGTTCTGTTCCTTTTATTATGGGGGGTAGAGTTCATCTCTGACTCTTCCAAGAAAAGAGCCCCGTCAGCACCTGGGCCTGAACACCACTTAAATCGGGCAATGGGATCTGGCTGCACGACTTTGCTCTGGTTTAATTATAAAGGCACATCCCTCTGTTTATTTTAGCTGGCCTCTCCCACCTTGGTTATAAAATATCTCTGAGACGAGACACATGCAGCTGCCCCAGCCACACAGGAGAAGCATCACCCCTGGCATGAGGGTACCTCACTGCCACGTGAGGAGAAATGTGTGTGTGTAGGGGGTGGTTTGATGGTTTGGGGGGATGGGGTCGGTGAGGGACAGGGCAGCCAGCCAGCAGGGCTGTCAGAATCTGAAGAACAAATAACACTTGAATTCATGTGGGGCAGCATCATGGTTCTGGTCATCCATCCACTCAGGGCAAGACCCCAGCCAGGGATGAAGTGTGTGTTTTAAGCAGGACTGCAAACAGGGGAAGAACTGGTCCAGATTTGGTAGTAAAGGAGAAGAAGGGCTTTTTTCTTAGCAGATACTTACTCAGCATCTCCCCTGGATCTGGCCCTGTGAGGGTACTTTCCACATTCACTGTCCTGTAATGCTAATCAGGGAGACCCTTTTAGATGAGGAACTCGAGGTTCTGCGGGGCTACCCTGCTCCCCAAGGTTACACAGCTAAGGGAGAGGTGGGCTGCGACTGGAAGCTGGGACTCTGACCCAGATCCAGGGCTCCATCTACCAGGCTGTCTGCCTTCTTCCTTAGTTGGAGAGGGTCCCAAGTCACTCCTTAATTTAATATAAATAGCGAACAGTTACTTCCTCTGTTACTGTTATCATGTTTTAATATTTGTTGTTTTTCTACCATTTCTAGCAGGCTGTGAACCCAGAGGACTGCTTCCTTCTTTCAGAAAGTGGCAATTCAGGGGGGAGCGTATAGCTCAGTGGTAGAGAGCGTGTTTAGCAGGTACGAGGTCCTGGGTTCAATCCCCAGTACCTCCATTAAACAAACAAACAGACAAACGAACAAAATATTTAAAAAGTGGCAATACCCCAAACTGCCTACGAATTCCCAGCGTCACCTTGTGCTGTGGGGCTTGGTCACTCGGGGTCCTCTTGAACAGAAGTCCTGGCCATTTCCACTCCCTGATACGTTAGCAACGTGAACTTTCAGTCCCTTTGCTCTTTGTTTTTATGTCTCAAGTTATTCTCTATTTCAAACCCCAACTTCCTTGCTGGCAGAGGATTTAATCTCGATTACTTTCAGGTAAAGGAGTTCATTTCAGGTTTTTACTTGAGTCAATCTAGGATTTTGTCCCCCCTGATCCCACCCCCAAGCCCAGAGGTGGCATCTAAGATCCAGGGGCCTTACACAGGTAGCCTCTGAGCATCGGGGGCAAAAGGGTCAGGCCCCTGGTTGTTGGCACTTTCCACACTGGTGTCCACTGAGATGTACACAACTTCTTGTGCTCAGGCACGGCTGTCCTGCCGCACCGGCATCTACTGAAGCACCAGGCTCCTAACTGGCCTCCAGCCACGTGATCCTCTCCGCTTCCACTGTGCTGTCCCTGCATCAGGACAGTAATATCTCTTTGGATTGGCTTCTCTTTTCCCCAGTGAGATTTCCCCACCCTCCTCTCGGCCACAGGGAAGCGTTATTGCTCCCACAATTTTCCAAAAAGTGGCAACCCCAGTGGGGATAGTATTTTAGGTATTCTCTGCTTCAACTCCACCTGCAACCACCTCTGCCCAGCTCCTGCCACGCCGTGGTGGGGCAGGACATTCTGTGAGGCTCACACCACTCAAGACCAGTTGGGATGCAGGGCAGAGACCTCTCCTCCTCTCCGGTCTCCACTCTGGTTTGGGGGTTCTACTATTTCTTCATTTAGAGCAAGTCTTGTGGGAGTGGGAGTCTTCTCAGAGCCGAAGGACCCGCTTCAGAGACCATCACCAGCCTCTTCTCGCTTGCTTCCCTTTTAACTCTTTCTTCTAACCTCAGGCATCAGGGCAACTGGTTCTGCAAGTGTCCTTCCTAGGGGATCATGGCCAACGCCAACCTCCCCCTTGGCAGTGGTGGCCAGTGAGTGAAAGGGGAAGGAGTCACAGATTAGAATTACAACCGCTGTCTCTCAGGGTTGCTAAAAGTCAGAGGTTGTAATTCAAAAAATTATCCTGTCCCAGTAAAATAATTTAAACACTCGAGGCAGTGACAGCAAGTACTTTTCTACTGCGTACCGCGCGCTGGGCGCAAGGAGCCGCTCACGTAACGACTCATTTGCTTCTCACGCATCCTGTTTATTCCTCAGGTATGATATTATTATTCATTATTAATCTCCCTTTTACCAGTGAGGAAACTGGGGCAACAAGATGCTAGTTTATTTGAACTCTGTGAGATCAAGCCGGTAGCAGCTGATGGAGTTGGGAGGCCAGTCCAGGCCTTCTGTGCTCCCCGGCCACCTCATACACGAGTAGTGGTTCAGTCTTCCTTTAGGCTGGGGCTGGGGCTGCTTCCACTTCCGTGGTGTCCTGGAGGTTGGGGGCGGAAGAGAATGACTGAGCTGCCTTTGAAACTCATGCTTGCTCATCGCCCCGGCGTTCCTCCTCTTTTCACCAACAGGTTGGTCCCACGTCCTCAGTTGTGGAGTCTCTTCTCTACTCACACTGTCCAATCTGGTAAAAAAAAAAAAAAAAGAAGAAGAATGCCCTGGAACGTGCCAGTGAAGGAGTGTGTGTGTGTGTGTGTGTGTGTGTGTGTGGTGGGGAGTCCCAGGCAGATGAGCCCCACTCTTGAGACCCACAGGAAGTGTCTATCTCATGAGTTTGTGTTCTACGTAATGCACTGAACACACTGTGGTAGCTCAAGGATGCAGACTGAAGCTGGCAGTTTCGTTCTTTAAAAAAAAAATAAACATTATGAACAAAAACACTGTCAAAATCTTTTCTCTGCACCTATCAGAATTTGCAGGAGGCAAGCACACACAATGACTGTATGTGACACTCCTCTTGTACAAGTTTCTCCTCCACTTTCTCTCCAGGACCCAACAAAATTCTCTTTTGCCCATAGTATTTAAAACAGAGAAATTGGTGTTGACATTTTGCAATATGGCATGACAACTGGTGAATATGGGAAGTGATGATGTAATGGAATTGAGCAAAACTGCTGAAATTCTTTTTTCTCCCCCTTGGAATTCAGCCAACGTTTTGTTTTCTGTGATTCTGCAGAAACAACGTGAAACAAAATTGAACTTTCTCATCAGTTGGGGAAATTGCAACTTATGTTTATCTTGTTGTGTGGCATACGAAATATTTTCTCATGGCTTGAGATTAGAAGGGAATCAGAAGTTTTGGCTGTTTATTGGAATTCTTGAAAAAAAACTCTCAGATTGTAGGGAAAACAAGCAGTAAGTAACAGCCATTAGGAAATCACGTAGAGGGACGTTCCCAGAAAGTGAAAGATGTGGGAAGCTGGGTGGGTATCAGTAACAGAGAGATTGGAGCCCACACAGCAACGGTGGTAATAAGGCTGGGAAAATAATGCGCCCCAAACACTCCCCATGTTTTCAGAGAGGTGGAGTGATCTGAGCACGGAGAACATGTGTGAGAAGCTTGTTAACTCCAGTGCTACCTGCCATTACTGGAGCTAGTCCAGTTTTGATGTCCTGCTCAGCCCCACTGCCAGCACCTCCAAGACACTTAGGAGCTTTGTCTTAATGGCCCCAATTCTCCCCTTCTCTCGGCCCCCATCCCTGACCGAAACCTCTGACTAAGCCAGACTCGTGTTTCTTGTCTCTCCAGGAAGGGAGCAGCTGGAACCATCCTACCCTCCCCCACCCCACTTTGGACCCAGCTTCTAAACCTCGGATCACTTGAACACCCTCAGGGTCCACCTGGAGAGGAAAGCCCCCCAGAGAGCTAGACTCTGGCCTGTCCTTCCTGGTGTACTGGTCCCACAGCCGCGGACCTGGAAATAGGAGAAGGACCAAGTACTCCAAAGGTGTTTGTCCAAGACGCAGTGGCTTAGCGAAGGACGGTCTTCTCATTGAGCTGAGAGCCGGGCGCCCCAGAGAGTCCACGGCAAGGTCCTCAGGAACTGGAAGAGGAACAGGTTTGAGAATCTGGCTGATCCCGAGGGGGTCCTTGGTGGGAGTCTTTTGTTGATCTGATCACCAAGAAAAGTTTCAGTCATATTCAAGTTCATGCATCGTCAGTGCCCAGATACAGGCGGGAGGTCTTAAACTAGGATGCATGAAACCTCTGAACTTGCACACGAAGTTTTATGTCTGTATAAGCCTTTTCCAGAAAAGAGAATCAATATCTTCCACTAGATTCTTAAAGCATCTGCAATAACCCCCAACCCGACTGTCACCAGAGACCTAAAGAGATCATAGAATATCCCCCAACTTTAATCTTACAGACTTTTAATGTTTTTAAATTGAGATATAGTTGACATATAGCATTAGTAGAATTTTGAGCTGAAAGGAATCTTGGGTGGTATTTAGTTCATTTTTGCTTTTTAAAAATTTTTTCTGGTGTAAAAATTTGAGTCTGATAAACACAAAATGTTTTATAAATATTGTAGTCCTATAGGCCTTTTTCTTCCAAAAATGCCTTCCAGATGGATCCTGGAAAATGCATCATGGTGACCTAGAGTCGGGCTGTGGGTGGTGGGACGATCATCCGCCCATTTGTGCCGGAAGGATGGATGAGGGGGTGGCAGGCACACTCCTGTCCTCTGGTTTATCTTCACATCTCACTCATAGCACAAAGATGGGACTTTGTGGTTTAGAACCCAAAGCTTCTCCAGTTCAGGGGGGACTGATGAGATTCACTCTTATTAGAAGAATCTGGCATAGTCCCTCTAAATAACTTTGTGATTTTCATGGCCCAATCTTCCCCAGAACATTTATTTACATATTTATTTCTTTTACTTCTCTGCTTAAAGCAGCTCACAGATACATAATTCATACGATTATAGTTGGGGAAAAAAATCTCATTTGTTCAACACAAATATTGAAAAGAGAAATCAGCTTGACACCTGGCACCCTTCACTGCAGCTGGGTTCACTCTTCCCAAGGCCAATGTTTTCATCTGGTGAATGGAAGTTCTTTATGAAGAGCAGGGTAAGAAAACCACAGAATTCTAATTTCCACATGAGATTTCTCTGAAGTGAGATGGGAAGAAAGAGAATAGTCAGTTGATTCTTTTAATAGTTAGGTCAGAAAGCTGGCCTTCTTACTAAGCAGTAGAGGAGAAAGAACTTGGCAACAGCGGCTGTAAGGGCAAGGGTTGGGGGAGAATTACGGATGACTCCCAGGCTTCTGACTTGGTAACTGGGGCACACAGGAGGAAGAGCTTCTGAGAGAAACAAATGAGAGCCATTTTGGATACGTTGTGTTTTGATCCAGGTGGAGAATTTGGTGTGCAGTTTGAGATGAGAGTCTGAAGCTCCAAGGGGAGGCTTGGGCTGGAGACACGATTTGCAAGTCGTCAGAATACCTACAGCCTACACACCTGCAGGAAATTACAGGAGGGGGGTTCAACAGGAAAGCAGACAATGATGTCAAACATCTCAGGGCAGTCAAGTAAGAAAGAACCAACTGCCCACTGGCTTTAACAATGAGGAGGTCATTGACAGCCTTCGGATAAGCGGTTTCTGTGGATCTGCAGTGGCAGAAGCCAAATCATATTTGTTGCAAGGTTGGATGGACAGCAAGATGTGGCAAAGCTGAATGGAGATGACTCCAGAAGTCTGGATAAAAAGAAATAAAGACAACAACAGAGTGACAGCTCAAGGAGGCTGCAGGATGGTGGGAGTTTTGTTTACTGTTTTTAGGTCTGAAGAGACTTGAACATGATTAAGTGATAATGAGAAGAAACCAGTAGTAGTGAAAAGCTGAAGAAACAGGAGAACAAATGTATCATTCACAGGACAAATTTCTGGTTGGAAATAGGAAAGAGTAAATCAAGAGCACTTTGGTGATTCTGGTCTTGAAGCAACCATCCTCCAAGACACCAGGGAAGGAAGGATATATTTGTGAGTGGAGGGCAGGGAACTGAGGGAGCTCATACCTCGTCATCTCAATTTTATCAGTTAAAGAAAGTGAGGCTACTTGAGGTGGGCTGGGGAGTATGAGAAAAGTGACAAAAGTTTGAAGCTACCCTGGAGAAGAGGGTTTTCCGACTAATGAAACTGGCAAGGTTGGCTAGAAGCACTGGAGGTCCAGTTGAGACTGGAAATCCTAAATGCCTAGTAGCCCCATTCCACCCCACTGTGTTTCTTTCTCTTAATGCTTGGCTGCGAGCATGCAGAGCTGGAAAAGACAGATCAATTTGGGTTAATTCAGGGTTGGGAATTTATAAGATGGGGGTAATAGCAGGACAAAAGGATGAGGAGGCTGGGTTTTCTAGGTAGAAAGTAGGTGAAGGGATGCATCATGGGATCTGGGCAGAAGGGGGAAAGATAAAGCAGGAAAGGACTGACGCGAAGCGAAAAACTGAGATAAAATACTCAAGTTGATGAAGATCTTGTGAAGTCAAAGAACAGGCAGGGTCAGAGAAGGGCTGGAAAGGCGGTCTGGAAAGACAAAGCATGATCAAGAGACTGCCTACGCTCAGACATGTTTCCCAAAACACTTTACCTCTGTTTCCGCATTGTGCTGTGAAATTGAAAAGTGCATCACAAATGAAAACATGAATGTCTGGTGAGTTGTTTGTTACTTTGTATTAACTTTGCCCTTGGCTCTCTTCCCTATGATAATCTAGTTCTCTTTTCACTGACAGAGGAAAATGTGGACCAGGTTTTAAGAGTATTATTTCTCTAACTTTGTAGAGTATAATTTTCTCTAATGATTTCTCTAACTCTTAGTGTTGACCATTTTATATGTATATGTGTATTATTACTATTTCATTTGTATTTTAAATGTATAATCTTGGGAAGGAAACCAGTGTTTTCTCTTTCAGCCAGCACCTGTTATAGGGATAAGCAGGACTTCAATAATCTGCTTTCTCCGGCTTTGTCGTTCCCCTAAATTTAAGTTGGTTATAAGAAAAATGATAGGTTATATAAACCTCAAGAGGACAGATCACATCAATAGAGCCCACATGACAAGGGACTAATGGTAACAAAGTGGACCCATGGGATGATGGAGGATGTCAGGGAGGCTGTGCACACCGTTGTGACCTAGATTGGAGCCGAACCTAAAAGCTAGTTAGGTAGGCACCGTTTAGATGGGCGTTGCGTGTAAATAAGGTGTGGGTCACCTCCACTCCATCTAAGGCTGCTTCCGTTGTGCTTTTGGAAGCGATGTTAAGAATTAAGCAGGTGTATAATTTGAACATAGTTCAGTAGGAACACAAATACTTCATTTGTTATGCCTCATTTTGCTAAATACGTATTTAGCAAGCACACAGATGAGGTTGAAAAAGCAATTTCGGGCAACGGATTAGAATCCCATTTGCAGAGCAAGTTAACCTAAGAAATTTTGTTAGTCAGTAGAACTAAGGTGCTTCTCAAGAACCGTGTTCAATTGTTTTGTAACTGGACAGAATAAAGATGGAGTTGACACATGTGTATCGGCCACCAGGATCTACCAAAAAAAAATAGCAGAAGAAAGAAAATGAGCAAGGATTTATCACTGGGTCTCCACACACAGGGTGCTCAGACCAGCTGGCAAGAAGATTCTTGTCCCTTTGTCAAGTATATTCCTGCAAGATTGAAAATAGGGAGCGTGTCTGGTCCATAGTAGGTGCTTAGTTAAGAGGCAGGTCTGTTCTCATTGCCTTCCCTTTGGTGGAGGTTGTATTGCTGGTCCCCACATCTCAAGGCATTAACATTGTCTAATTCCCGTGCTCTCAGTCCATGCTCATCAAGCCACCTGCTAATGGTAATTTGCCTTCCTGTGTAGACTTTTCTAAAAAAGAGCAACTCCCCAGCATGCTGACTTAAATATTCCAGTTCGCTTAGCAGTTTTATCTTTCCTTGCAATTCACGAAATAATATTTCACTTTATTTACCAGTCTCATGAGATGGCTAATTAGAGTAAGTTGCTGTCCCTGATTCTGATGAATTTGGGAAGAAAAATGTAAAATTTTCCACCTTTAAAGATGATGAGCAGGTCTGGCTTCCACAGAAACACTGCGTTTCAGAGAGATCCCGTGTGATCTACTGTGAACCTCTCTCTTTGACATTTTTTTTCTGTTTTAACAAATGCCATGTATACCTTCTCAAATCATTAGGTTTCAGTGCCCAGAATTCCACTAACTTGCCTGTAACTGAAGTAGCCTTGACCACGGTAAGGGGTCTTGTGTGGAGGCAGTGGGACTGAAACTTTGGTCTCAGCTGGAATGCTTGTGAAAATGCATATTGCAGGCTGCCCCCTAGAGATGAGTCTGCATTTTTAGCATAACTGATTCTGATACACGTAGTCAACAGACCCCACTTTGAGAAACGGCTTTAGATGGGGGCGCTAGCTCTCTTATGGCCATGGGCTCTAGCAAGGGATATTTTCTGTTCTGAGAGCCATGGGTTCCTCCTTCTAACCAGAGTGAAGTCTGATGCACCCAGAGGAAAGGAAGTGGGGGGAAGTAAAGCCAGTGTGGAATAACAGCAGAGAGGAATAAATGGTGGTGACCTGGGAAAGGAGCTGGAAGACTCTTTTCTGGAACCCCAGCTGTTTGCCTGAGCCCAGTTCGGGTCATGGAGTGAGAGAGTTTGTCTGCCTAACAGGTTGGACTTGTTTAAAGGGATGTTTTCCTTTCATCTGGCAAAGGCTCCTTTGGCAAAAGGCAGATAGTAATCACGATAGCATGCAGTGTTGTAAATGTGTATGTGGCACTAAGTCTACTTTCTCTTGTCCTAGCAGCCGACAGTATTGGAATTCTCCAAATTCAGTGCCAGAAGTCTTTATTTACTGGCATTTGGCAATCTTATCCAGAGAATCATAGAGTGCTAGAGCCAGGGCTAATTCGCAGAGCACGGTGGAACCCCATGTTAAAGATGCAGAAGTTGAAGCGGAGGGAAGACGAGTGATTCACCAGGTCCCACAGCCTCGTGGAGGAGGAGCTGGGACAAGAAGAGGGTCTCCTGACCCCAGTGCAGAGGCTCCTGCTGCCTGCTCCCAAACCACCACCAGGAGACAGCACCTGCTGAATCAGCGCAGATGACTTAGAGATAGGGTGGCCTGATAGCTGTTTGGGAGTATTTTATCATCTGGGTAGCAGACGCTGTGAGATGCTTTGCATTTCGATTTCATCCACTTAACTCTACATCAATCCTCGCTGCTTTAAGCAACCCACTTTTGGGGATGATTTTTCTTTCTTTCTTTCTTTTTTTTTTTAAACCAGTAATCCTTCTAAGTCAGCATTCCTCCTAAACTAAGAGCAATCGCCATCTAGTGGCTTGAAGATCACGGTAAAATTTCCCACAAAAGCTTTGTATGTAGGCCAAAGGAACCAGGGAGTTTTTAACCACCTGGAAGAGAACCTGCTGGATCTTCACGTCCAACACCCTCATGTTACAACTGAGAAAAATGAGGCTCCGGAGAAGGAAGCAACGTGCTGAAGGCCTCACAGGAGATCAGTGGAGCCAGGAGCGCCCTTGACCACACGGAGTAAGTACATGGCATGAGCACTCTCTAGTCCCACCATCTTGCAGAAGGACAGGGGCTTCGGGAAGGCAGGGAGGTGTTGAGAGCCTGGCCCAGTGCCTGACATACGTAGTGCCCCCATGTACGTGTAATGGGTGAGTGGGTCCTCCAGACTCAAGTCGCCAGCCTCCATTGCTTTTCTCCACAGTGCCATCAAGCCAAAGCAGTTCTCCCCACGGAAGATCTCCATCAACATGGTCGATGGCTGGACGGACACCTGCTTTTGTCGAATGGACTGAACAGTGTGCTGTCTGCCCCACCTTCAGCCACACGACTCTGCATCCTGTCTGGCTGAGCATCTCTTGCCCAGGATACTTTTGTGTTCAGAGTGAGTCTCCCAACAGGCAGCACATCTAAGTGTCTTCTGCGAGAATTGAGGTGAGCACTCAGGGCCTCGCCCCTTCTATTTATAACGTGCATCCCAGCGAGAGTGTTGGGGCCGAGTTCAGAACGCAGCAGACCTACAGGAAGAGGCCCGCGCAGGCGGGCTCCATGGGGGGTGGGAACGGGCCAGGGCTTGGAAGGCTGCAGATGGCGAGGGTGCCAGGGTGACAGACGGTGGGTGGCAATTTTCTTTGTACTCCAAATAAGCTGAGGATTTTCTTTTTTCCACTGAAATTGCCTAGAAGAAAATGGGGACAGGAAGAGTGGCAGGCGGAGGCAGCCCCTGTGGGGAAGATTTCTTATCCTGGGGTCCATGGATGGGCTTCCAAAGGGGATGAGTTCTGAAGCCTCTGGATTCACACAGATTTTGTGTCTGTGTACATTTTTTGGGGGACAGAAGTCTCTCTCTTTTATTTGCTTCTCAAAGGAGTCCATGACCCCCAGTACGTCAAGATCAAGGTGTAAGGATCAAATCTATCCCCAAACTGTTCCAAAATGAACCACTTTTTATCTCATTCTGGAAGATTCAACCATAGTTGTTATTCTCTCTTACCACCCTTCTCGCCCACACCTGATGTTATTTTAATTTGTTTTGTGGGGAGTAATTAGGTTTATTTATTTATTTAATGGAAGTATTGGGGATTGAACCCAGGACCTCATGCATGCTAGGCATGCACTCTACCACTGAGCTGTACCCTCCCACTCATTTTTAAAAGGATGTGTGCACATAGAAAACAATTGTATGAGTTAAATCCTTTGCTCTTTTTTAATGGGTACATATCTAAGTCCCAAACTGAGGCATCCAGAAAATACACATTTCTTTTACTTTTCTAAAATGGAGATTAATTTCTATTTTGAGTCCCTATTCCATCTTGTGGCAGAGACTTAATCTCTGTGTTTGAGATTTTCTATTTCTCTCTCTGCCCCAGGGGATTGTGTCTCAATTCTGGGGGTGCTTACCTAGGACCGAGGTGCCTAACTAGGACCAAAGAGTTGGGTGTGATAGGCAGCATCTGTCCTCTGTGTCATTTGTCCACAAAGTCATCTGCTGAGATGCACCCTTCATCCCACTGAGTCCTTGCCATGGGACCACCCGTGTCACCCCTGAGCTGTCTATCTTCTGGTTCTGGCCCTGGCAGACCTCCCTGCAATCTTCACAAGGAATCCCTGGGGCTGTGCATGGCTCGGCTTACTCGGGGTAAGGCTCTGGGGTCTTGCTTCTTTCCAGGACACTTTGATCCAGGACAAAGGGTGCTTCGGACCTCTCTTTGAGGTCTAAAGTTGTGAAATCCTCCAATCCGTTTTCAAGAAGAATTTTTGGAAATTTTTACTTTATGCAAACCTTCCTGATTTTCAATGTTGGAAACTTATTTTGGAAAACAAAAATCATTGTACATCAAACAAACAAACAAAATCTGTGGCCCAACTTTGCCCCAAGGGCCACCACTTTGCAGCCTCTGCCCTAAAGTCTTAGACTCATGGAAACCACAGCAGGGATGATGCCCTTTCTTCTGCTTTTGGATGTTTCGCTTCTGTCCCATGGCAATAAGCACAGGATGGTCCACCTACTGAAACAGGAGAGAAGGGTGAGAGAAAGGGGAGGAATCTGGTGGCAAACCATCAGTTCATGTTTCAAAAGTGTTATCCTTCTATACCTTGATATTGAGCTTTTAAAGATAGATTCTATATTTTTAAAAAATAAACTTTTAGATCCAGGAAAAGAGGTCTGCGATTGCGCAATATATTTTTAGTACAGTAATCCTGCCCAGCAAATGCTTTCAGTGGAATTATAGAGCTCTATATTGGGTCTCTTCAATGATTGTTTAATCCAGTTCCTGAAGCTGGATTAAATAAATGAGATAACTGAAGCCTAGAAGTAAGTGACTTGGCCGTGGTCACCTGGCAAGTCACTGCCGGCCAGACTCACAGCCTCTGGCTCCTAGCTATTTCTGTCTAGCGCCTCCTCCCAGACAAGCCCAGGGCCCAGGCACTGCAGTCTGCTTGGGGTGGGAGGAGGGTGTGGCACGGGAGTCGGGGTGGTGCTGGCAGGCAGCACTTAACCTCGAGGAGGGAAGACCCAAGAGGCGATGGCCCCAGGAGAAGTCAAGGCAAAGGGGACCAACAGCCAGAGGCAGTAATCATGGAAAGGGGCTCAGGAGAGACGGAGAATGCCTGGACAAGTGGTAGGTCAGAAACCAGGAAGTCAAGCTACGCAGAAATTTGCAAGCAGCAGGCAGGACCAAGACCCTTCACGCAACACTGGGCTTTCTGTAGGGGCCTGAGCCTCTGGGTAGGTGGGTGGAAGGGACCATCAATGGCATCAAGGCAACGGGGACACTTTAAACTGTGGTTAGGAAGTGCCTCAAAGGTCCATGTTTTCCTGAGAGATCTTTCTCAAAACATAACTTCCAGTTAGATTACTCCCCTTCTTAACACTGTCCAAGGGCTTCCTGTTGCCTTTGGGATAAAGTTCTAAGTCATTATGTTACCAGCTTCTTTATAACCATGTCCCCCATGTACATTTCTAGTATTTTTCAACACCATTACCCAATCTTTTAATGCCCTAGCCCAGTGGTTTTCCAACACTATTGTGACTTGGACTGAAGGTGCATCAGAATTGTCTAGTGGGCTTGAAAACACAGATTTCTGGATCCCCATCCTGGAGGTTCTAATTCAGCATATCTGGGGTGGGTCCTGAAATTTTGTTATTTTTTCCGTGTTCCCAGGTGATGCTGAGCGTATGGGCACCATACTCTGAAAACTACTGTTCCAGCCACGTGCTCGATTGTTCTGTGGGCCGGCAGCAGCAGCAGCTGGGGGCTAGTCAGAAGCACAGGTTCCCAGGCCCACACCAGCCCTACTGATTCAGGTAACTCATAGGACATTAACATTTGAGAAGTACTGTTCTAGCCTAATACTTCCCAATCCTGGCTGTACCTTAGAATCACCTGGAGAGCTTTGAAATTTTAATTTTAAAATTTCATGCAGGCTCCACTCCAGCCCTAAAGATTCTGATTTAATCAAGCTGGTGGTTGGGTCAAGGAATCTGTAGTTTTAATAGCTCTCCAGGTGATCTACATATGCAGCAGGATGGAGAATGATTGCCTTGGCCACATGGGACCACCACGGCGCTTTAAACTTAATGCAGCCGCACCCCTGTTGTTATTCTGCACCTGCTCTCCCCTCAGCCTGCAGCAAAACTTTTCCTTCTTCAAAACCCATGCTACCAAACCTCCTCTGGGAAGAGGTCCCTTCAGTTTTCCCCAGCAGAGTTAACTGCTCCCCTCTTTGGGGTCTGCTTTTTGTGCACCGTGTTGTAGGCAGATCACATTGAGTTGTAATCATGTATTTTTATGGCTCTTTCTCTCACTAGGGAAAACTAAGCTGTGAATATCTTTGGGGTGGGGAACCTGGTTTATTTACTTTTTAAATCTGTGGAGCCTAGTTTTTGTACAGTTGGTTCTCTATATCTGGTTCTCTGTAGCTCTGTGGGTGACTGAATGCACAAATGAGTTGTCAAGCTTGGAGAACCAAGTAAGCATCCTTCAGACGTTCTCAGTCCCCTAATCATCTCTGCCAGAAAATTACCCCCAACCCTGCCAACTCTTTACCATCCACCCGAAGGAAACAGAAGAAAGAAAACATGCAAACAACAAACAGCCCAGAACAGATGTGTGCACAATGTACAAGTCTTGGCTGTCTCAGAAGAAATGTTTGGGAACAGATTGTAAGATCCGTAAGGGCAGGAATTTCTGTTGGTTTTGTTCTTTGCTGTATCCCCAGTGCCTGGCACAGGGCCTGGCATCTAGAAAGGACTAGATGGAATGAGAGAATGTTGAATACGTGGTGATTGTAAGACAGTTTTCTTTTCTCCTCCTCCTTTCTCATTTTTTTTATTGTAGTATGGTCAGTTTACAACACTGTGTCAATTTCTGGTGCATAGCATAATGTTTCAGTCATACATACACATATATATTCCTTTTCATAATAGGTTACTACAAGACATCGAATATAGTTGCCTGTGCTGTACAGTAGAAACTTGTTGTTTATCTATTTTATATATAGTAGTTAGTATCTGCAAATCTCAAACTCCCATTTTATCCCTTCCTACCCTTTCTCTCCCCAGGTAACCGTAAGTTTGTTTTCTGTGAGTGTGTTTCTGTTTTGTAAATAAGTTCATTTGTGTCCTTTTTTAAAGATTCCACATATAAGTGTTATCATATGGTACTTTCTGTCTCTTTTTGGCTTATTTCACTTAGACGATCTCCAGGTCCATCCATGTTGCTGCAAATGGCATTATTTTATTCTTTTTTATGGTTCAGTAGTATTCCATTATATAAATATACCACAACTTCTCTTCCTAGTCATCTGTCAATGGACATTTAGGTTGCTTCCATGTCTTGGCTATTATAAATAGTGCTGCTCTGAAAATCGGGGTGCATGTATCTTTTTTAATTTGAGTTCCATCTGGATTTATGCCCAGAAGTGTGACTTTTGGATCATGTGGTAAGTCTATTTTTAATTTTTTGAAGACTCTCCATACTGTTTTCCATAATGGCTGCACCAAACTA